TATCTACCTTCAGAAAAATTATGATAGCATTCAATTGATTGTGGCTTTAATGCTGTATCAACTGTTTATATACACCAACCCTAATTGTTCGTTCTATCATTTGTGTCTATGAAAAAAGATGGGTTTTCAAAACGCAATTTACATCTTCTTTGGAATGATATTTCCTTGAAAATCTTTTTAATATAGACCATGCTATTACCCTGTTCATTTATTATTCAATATTGGCTCTACAATGAGTCCGTAAATGCAATCAGTCTGTATATACGTACCAAGTTCGACTGGGTCTAACATCTGCATAAGGGATCAAGAACTCATCTCGGTGGATGTTGTTCAAAACTTACCTACAATCCGTGCCCCTGCAGCTGATTTGTCTACAGTATTTGAGATTTTGAATCAGTCAAAACTGATTAGACTAGAACTACATCTGGAAACAATATTGTAGTAATGGATCAAGCACTTTATATGCCAAAGCTACTGAAATAGTTATGAAACACAAAGAGCGTTTTTGCTTAGAATTGGAACATTCCACACTATTTGTGACGCGTTATCGATTCTTGGAAAGCGGTTTAAAGGACATATGCATAGAGTTCGGAATAGTTGCTGAGGGGTCCATAAATGGTGTCCTTGATGGTAAGCATTACAATCGTGCTGTTATAATACAAAAGTGTATCTATGAGGCGCTCCTGAGATTGGCTTGGTCCGAGTTATTACCTTGGGTGGAGGAAAATTATCCAGACACGGCTGCTGACATAAAAACATTCCCGGATCAAGTGAATGACATGGCCAGTGACATCAACCAATAAAATCACAAAGCTCTGCTTCAAAGTCAATTATTCCAGGGCCTTGTACTTTTATGATAAGAATTTCTCGAACGTCTTCGTGTTAGTCACGGGGAACTGTCTACATTCTGGATGTCATATTTTGATTTTGTTTAAGACGTCATTCTTGGTCTCCTTCGTTCATCACGTGAAGGAAATCGGAACCTGCATCTCTACGCTGTACGTAAACTTATCCCCTGGTGTTTTGCATATGATAAACTGAATTATGCGCGATATCTTTCTTCATATTTTGCTCAGATGACAAATCCAAGGGAAATTCATCAATGTGTATGTGAGGCCTTCCAAAATGGACAATTTACAGTGCAAATGCTTGGCAATAACCCTTTTGTTTTGTTTTGAACATATTTATTTGACAATAACCCTTTTTGATGAATTCCTGTGGATCAGACAACTGATATCACCCTAAATAAGGACACACAGACACCTTGTGGAACAGTTCGATTCAGTTTAAAAGCTTCAGCTATAGCTGCTATAGTACTGCAGAGTATCGAAGTTCCTTTCTAGGACTTTTACAGAATATGATTTGAGAAAAATCTTCAGGTGTATCTCACACAGAATTGCAACGTCCAAGCATTCAGAAAGACAAACAAGCTGTGTCAGCAGTTGTCAATTTGGTAAAGGAATGGGTCAACCCTTTTGTAGAGAAGCAGGATATTGTGAGCATATCAACTGCCAGGGTTGCACCAAGAGAAATAATGACAGGCATATTGCATGCTTATCAGATTGGTGAAGAAGCTTAGATAAACTTTAGAAATGAAAGACTGGAGGGAGATTTGCCAGATATAAAGTTTCATGACCCGATGAAGACTCAAAGACTTGACATATAGCAATTTGAGTCAGAAGCAGGAGTTGAAATCAAATGGACGCGTAGCAATCTTGAAAGCTGACAGAACCTTGTTTGGTGGGATAATTGTGATGGTACAAGGTCGTAACCTACAAATGGAGAGTATTCTTTCGTACCCAATCAGGACCATTGTCGTGGGCTCTATCCACACCAGATGGAATGCTGCGAAAGACAAACGAAGCTGCATTTGCAGCAGCATTACAGAAGAATGTTTCTGTAGCCGAACAACTGCCAGAAAATTCTGTGTCAGTGATAGACGGGATGAGCTTAGTTTAGAAGGTGAAAGGTGATCAGAATACATTTGGAGATATTGCAAACACAATGTTTTCAATGGCACTAAGGGCCGGGGTGAACAGTGACAGGATAGATATTGTTTTTGACACGTTCATAGAGAACTCAATCAAGAACAGTGAGAGATCACTTCGAGGAGGAGAAGATGGCCATCAACTGCAGAATGAAACCTGCACTCAAATCATCAAACAGTGGAGGAGTTTCTTGAGCACGATTAAAATCAAAAATAGCATCAGGTAATTTCTAGTGAACGAATGGATGAAGCCAGAATTTAAAGAAAGGCTGCATGGAAAGGTTATCTATGTAAACTTGATAGAAAAATGTTATAAAATAACATTTCAAGACCACGAGGAGATAACAGATCTCCAGAGCCTTCAAGAAGAGGCAGATGGACGCTTACTTCTTCATGCAGCTCATGCAGGAAGACATGGATATAGTGCTTAACAGATCTGTTCAGAGGACACCGATGTTTTCATCATGGCATTGGCATTCAATGACAAGGCTGTTCATGAAATGTGGGAGTAAAACTCGCACTAGACTGGTTGATATAAACAAGGTTGCCACCAGCATCGGAAGTGAAGCATGTCGGGCACTAGTGGGGCTGCACTTCTTCACTGGATGTGATACTGTAAGTGCATTTGCTGGGAAAGGAAAATCAAGTGCATTGAAACTGATGATATGTAGCAACGCTGTACAAGAAATGTTCCAAGGGCTAGGGAAAGAATGAGACCTTTCTGAAGATTTGATGACCAAGTTAGAAGCATTTACCTCTCGCCTTTTTATTCCAGTTATACAGATTTATGGGGTGATGGTTGAATAAAGGTGGGAAAATATGCAAATTTTGTTAGATTCAAGTTCAGTAACTCAGTTAATGCTCTTTTAATATGGGTATCCTCATATCTCTGAGTGATTGAACGTACTAGTAGAACTTTCAATCACGGTTGGCAACTGTAAGACAAATACTTTGGAGGTTGTAAATATTTTTAACTCAGGATACCACATTTGAAGAAATTAAGGCCAATAACTCTGTCTCCAGCATTGAAGCCACAACGGATAAGATGCTATCATACATTTTCTCACTATTTAGGGGTATACCTTACCAAATATCACTATAAAGTTTATTCACCCAAAATGGTACCGACAACCCCCAGTGGCTCATGTACTAATACGTCGGGTGGTACTGATCGGCAGGGGATGTTCACTCCTCCATGGCACTTGATTCCATGCACCTCTAATTTTTCGGAGGTCCGTGATTGCTCTACTCCGTTTATAATTTTTTTATGGACTTTTGATCTTGAATATACTGTTTGCTATCTCCATATTTTTCATTTGGCATCTTTTTCTCCTGCCGAAGAAGTACACGGATTTTTTTTGTCTACCGACCTCTGTGTGCATGCGTCCGCTTACATCGGTGAACTGATTCCACAGAACAGTGACTAAGCGAGCGGTTTTAAATAAATAAAGCCATTTTTCACTTCATCGGTATAGAAAATAAAATAAAACTGTCAAACATTATGGGTTTCCCGTGAACAAAATAGAAGAGAAAAAAAAATCTGAATCTTTATTTATTTAACATTTAATTACAAAATTTTTGATGTGACAAAGAATTTTGTGAGAAATCTTGAGTACATGTAGGATCTTCTTTGGTATAAAAAACACCGAAAGTGAAATCGAAAGTGAAACCTAACTGACAACAGAGTGTTGCTAATACTCGGAACGGAAAACTTAACAGTTAACCGAAAGAAAATAGAAAAATGGCTTTTAAAATATATATTTAAAAAACAAACAAGTTGATTTTTTCGTCACAGCATGATTTAAAAATTTTCTTTGAGCATGGATTTCATTTGGCGCATGCCCATTTAAGCAATCGAAAATTCTTTGGTTTCGGAGATATTTCACGTGCATTAATATGTTGATAATTTCTAATGAAAAGATTTTGCCCAAAAATTTGTCTTATTATATTTTTTTTAGTTTCTTTTTCTCCCCCCCCCCCTTTTTTTTGGGGGGGGGGTTACCTAAAAAATAAAACAAATAAGCAATCAGTGTCTACGATAGATGATAACTGTCAAAGTTGTCCGATATTTTTGACATAAAAAGATGTTTGTCCAAAAATATGCATTTTGTATGTGTAAAGATGAAAATAGAAATATATATACTTGTTCCTGAAATATTGCTGACTTGTAGTTAAATAGTAATAATCAATGATCGATCTTAATATAGGAGATATACATTGAATCTTCCTTGCCGAGAACACGCTCAAGTCAAAAATTTCATCTGAAAACACATGTATCTTTAATTTATTAATAATAAATAATATCAGTAATAAATAAATGCATTGATTTTACGATTGTTAACCCAAAAAGAATGTTTAAAATATTTTTTTTCATAAGAAATATACAAGATTAAAAAAATGTTGAAAATATATGACACGAAAGAAAATTATTGGTATTGGTTTAATTTTTTCGGCGTTAATAAATTCCCATGAAGAATAGCGGAGAAATTATACTTTTATATAGAAATACTTTTAAAAAAATTAATGTAAAAAAAATCCGACACTTATTTTAATTGATATGGAATACACCCCCATTCGCCTAACTATCGGAAAGGGGGGGGGGGGATCTGGATCCATGCATGGGAAAATTTTTAGAGAAAATGAGATGTAAAATAACACCATAGTTTCCTGATTAAGGGTAGTTTTTTGCTACTGGTTGTCTGTGTTCAGAATAGTACTTAAATGTTTACAATGTTTCAAAGCTTCGCAGTGTATCCAATGCAACAAAATGCCTGTGTTAAGATCAATTGTAATATACAGTGGTTTATAGTAATATTAGTATATTAAAGATATCCGACTGTTTTTGTTTCTTCTTATGTTGGAAATATGTCGTTCGCACGAGCGCAAGCTAAAAATCTCTTTCGTACAGTTATGTCATTTGCACGACTTTTTATCTCGTTTACCATGTTTGCTTAATATGCCATCTTGGATAAATAAAGACTGTTTTTAATATTATATTATTATTTTTTTCCAGCTTCATTATATTTTCAAAACATGGGAAGAGGAAAGGAAAAACACACGTGCTTACATTTCCTAGTTGTTCTCATTCAGGTAAGGCCGTGTATTGTACTCTAACTATAGTGGTTTTCTGTCTGAGGTAGTAATAAAAAATACAGAACAACAAATTATTAACACTTTTGTGCCTCTGAAATCAGTTTTCAAAAATGCAGACCTACATGTAACGTGACGCTTGATATTTAGAACTTTTAAGTAAGCATGAGAGAAAGAGAGAGAGAGAGAGAGAGAGAGAGAGAGAGAGAGAGAGAGGGATTTTATTTAAACACTGTTTAATTATTAATAATCATAAAAGCTAGGACTGGACTACGGCAGTACTTCTCTGTAATACAAGGTCAAAGTCATACATGTATAATTTTGAACAAGTAAACATTAATAACACAAGAGTGTGAAAGTGTATGTGTATAAAATATTTTTCTGAAGATAAATGTGTACTCACCATTTGAATGGACAAGACGCATGTTATGCCGAATTCTTTTTATTTTAGCTTTTCTAAAATTACCATAATTCTTTTCCCAATTTCAATGAATAAGAAGTCTTTATATAAATTTCCAATTTGTTGCCACCTTGTTGATATTTAATGCTTGAAATAATAGAAATTCGAAAATATTTTTCTTTGTTTTTACATCTATTATTAAATTTTAAGTAGCATAAATTTAAGATTAGCAACAAAACAATTTTGGAAAATTAAGCAAAACAAATTTGGTAAGCTGAAATATATATAGGATCTCCCTATGATTTGTAGTTGGATAGATTTTTATCCAACGAGTTGTGTGTGTGTGTTTTTTGTGGGATAAAAACACACAACGAGTTGGATAAAAATCATATCCAATTACAAATCATGGGAGATTCTTTTTATCCCATGTTTATTACTTCACAACTGATGTTTTACACTGATTTTATAAGGGACTCCGTTATATTTTACTTCATCACGCTAACGCAAAAACCATTGTGACGTCATAACTGCACTTAAGTGTGGGATATGAAAAATTTATTATATTTTTACCCGTGAAATACTGTAATTTATTCATTGAATAAAAATGATATCCTTTCACAGTGTGATAGGATATCAAAATGATATCCTGTCACAGTATGACGAATATCAGAAGTGCGGGAAAACTCTCGATTTCCATTCCCATAACGAAGATTGGTGTAATTAAAATCTTCTTTGGCCAAATATAAGATAGATAAAAATAAAGAAACCATCCTGACAGCAAATAAAACTGTCAAAATTACCAAAAATATGTTGCTTAATCCATGTTTACAGTATTTTCACCTAACATAGCTATGTCGTTTCATTCGCTCAACTATGACGTCATGAACCTATGACTGTATTACAAAAAGACAGAGGCAGAGGAAAAATCAAAGATTTTTGTTAAAAATGTAATAAACAGAAAATTCAATGTTTTGTAGTTGAATATGGAATTTATTTCACTCGTGAGACAGGATTTTTGATATTTTCACTCGTGCTTCGCACTTGTGAAAATATCAAAAATCCTGTCCCACTCGTGAAATAAATTCCATATTCAACTACAAAACATTGAATATCCTCTATTTATCCAATGAGTCATATCCACGGGATAAAGGGGTAAACATGGGATAAATGGAAATAACAAATAGTATTCAAGCTCGAAATTTCTTTAAATATATAATATGAATGTTGGAGCAAATCAAACAAGGACATTTAAAACATGAAAGGTGGAATCTGGTGCCGTTGAGGATTTAGCATCCCCTGTCCACCAGCCACACCCAATGTGTACTCCTTGTCATGATGAATAAAATAACGGAAACTCTGTCTATAATTTCAGATCTTTGATACCGTTTTAAGCTGTCCTGCATCGATGCCGACTATTTCGTACGTATCCAATTGTCCGACAAGCCAAGAAGAGTGGGAAATGGCAGCTGAACGGAAGAACTGTGAGAGCATTGCGGCAATTCAGAACTGTACTTCTCGGAATAAATTCAAATATCATTGTTTAATGGATCACTGGAAAAACAAAACATTAGAAGTTTGTGCATCTATTTTCTACTTACAAGGTATGTCTTTATCAACGTAAAATTTAATTTTACATGCTTAAGTATAGGCAATAAATATAAAATGGTCAACATAAAAAAGTGAAAACAAAAAAGTTGTTATTTTTAAGATACATGTAACAAAAATATTTATGCAATTTTTAGGATATTGTCCAGAATAAAACATACAAATGAAACAAGTAGCAGAAATTTACGACGAAGGATTCGAATATCTGAAGTTAAATGGCACACGCAAATGTCCACGAAGATACCCGTCCAACGAAGCCTATAAATGTAATGTCAGGTATAAAATGTTTCTAAAACTGCAGAAATATAAATACAGCATATATCTAATCATTTCATATATTTCCTTTTATTTAGATCAACAGTGTTATAGATACAAGAACATATTTATGGATACGAGAAAAATAAGGTGACTATCTTTCCATGTAAATTTATTTTCCATGTGATACATATATATTATTATAACAGTAACTTGATACGAAGGGTCGTATCACGTCGAGTTGACAGGCGCGGATCTTCAGATCAAACGAGACGAGACGGGCTTTGTATTAGTTATTATAGAGGGCGCTGTTGTTCTAATATTACATGTATGTTTACTATATTCTCAAGTCGAGAGAGAGGGAGAGAGAGGGGGGGGTGTGTTTTTATGCTATATTTTTTTTACAGTTCAAAAGAGAGCAGTTGGACAGCATATGTGTTTATTATCGTCAGTTCGTTTCAATTTGTTATCCTTGCCTTCTTGGTTGTGCTGATGAAGAAAGAAATTTGTGAAAAATTCCGCAAAGGTTAGCAAATATAGTATTGTAAACAAAAATTAGAAATTACTAGTAATTCAAACAATCAAAAGACTCAGTTAAATTACAATAAACTACTTAAGTTTTATTGTATAAAAATGCCACAAATTAGTATTTAAGAAATAGCCGCGTGTGTGTTACTTAGCAATTATAATTATTTGATTTTGGAGTTACAAAGTGAAACAATTCTACAAATATTTTTTCATCAAATATTCTGTCAATAATATTAATTCTAAACTAACACAATCTGTGTACGATATGACTTTTCGTACATGTGGGAGAAAAAAAAAACGAAAAAATTATGTACGAATTGACTTCTGTAGTTTGCATACGAATATACGAGTCGGTTGGTGTACGAGTTAGTTGTAGTTCGGCGTAACTCAATGAATATTCATGAGGCGAGAAATATTGATAACAGCAAATATCAGGAATTACGCTTTGTGTTTGAAATAACTTGAAAGTATTTGTTAACTATGTAAATTTTATTTTCAAACATGGAAACAAGTCTTCTTTCATTATTTTGACTCTGCAAAAATCTCCGCTAGGGTCCCCGTGTGTTTACATTCATCGCCCAGACCAGCAGCAATAGCCTGTGGCTATATATAGCCACCGTCTAAAAATTAGAACCATTAGTTTAATTATTCTATATCTCTATCTATATATCCAAAATGTGTATATAATAAATTATATAATAGACACAGTGTCCGTCAATAAATATTTGAAAAAAAGAAAAAAACGACAACACAAGTTGAAAAACGTTAGCGCTTTCATTTCATTTTTCTCCGAAGAATGAAAACTTCAGTCAGGATTTGACTCGATGATAAATTGTGGTTGCTGACAGGGTCATTGTATCGACCATATGTTCTTGGCGAATCTTCAATTGTTTTTAACTAATCATACTAAATAACATTCCAGGTTTTAGTGTTTTGTTTTTTTTGTTTTTATTTTTCACCATTTCTCATTTACAAAGAGGTGGACTAGAAATATTTTTTTCTTTTACAACAATGCACTGGGTTCATATTAGACTGATTTAGACTGACGATGTACCTCTTTCCCCCTTTCTTTTATAGATGACATTTTTTGTTCACTACAAAACATTTAAGTTATGTTTAAATTGTTGACAGTTAAAGAGACAAAGGGGAAAGACATAGAGCATTTTATAAAAGATTTATGAGCAATTCACATGCATGTTTAAAATCATTTGAGACTCTTTCATTGAAAATAACATATACGTAATTTTATCTCCAGGTTGTAAACAGACTAATAAGAATTTGGAACAGAATAAAAATGGTAAGTCCCCATGCCGGGAATGATCAACTAATTTTATGATTTTAAAAGCATCGATGTTTTGTGAAATCCGTTTACTGGGATATAAGCTCTCTACATGATTATTATGTCCGATTAGTCTTTTCCTGTGAAAGAACTAATTATGCCCCCGTTATAGAACTTTCGGGGGTATATAGTTTTTGTCGTGTCTGTCTAGATGTCTCTCTGTCTGTCTCTCTGTTTTTCTATCTGCAAAAACTTTAACCTTGCCCATAACGTTTGATCTAATGGAACTATGACTTTCATATTTCACATGTGTATTCCTTGTGACAAGACCTTACTTTGGGTACCACCAAATTTTATCTTTTGACTTGACCTTGGAGTTTAACCCACTTTTACACAAAAATTCCAGACCTTAGTTGTGGTCATATCTTTTCAACAGTAGATACCCGGAATTCTGTACTTCATATATCTATTTTTTGTGACTTTGACCTTTTGACCTTGAAGATTTCCGTACTTATCAGAAAACTTTATCTTTGGCCATAACTTTTGAACAGTAAGGACTAGTGCATTTATACTTTACATATGTAATCCTAGTGAGAAGACACTTCATTGGATACCAAGAACTTTGACTTTGACCTTGGAGTTTGGCCTACGTTTAAAAAAGCAAACCTTTACCATAACTTTAAAAGTGTTAGGGCTAGTGCATTCATTCTTAACATATTTGATCCTAATGACAAGACCTTTCTTTAGATATTACCAAATTTGACCCTTTGGCGTTGACCTTGGAGATTGACCTTCTTTTGAACATTGGTAACCTTGGGAATAACCTTTGAAGATTTAGGGCTAAGGCTTTCATACTTCACATATGTTTTTTTCATAAGAAAACAATAAACCTGACCTTTTGACCTTGACCAAGGAGATTTCCGTACTTAGGAAAAAAACTTTAACCTTTGCCATAACTCTTGAACGCTAAGGACTAGTGCTCTCATACTTTACATATGTAATCCTTGTGAGAAGACCCTTCATTGGATACCAAGAACTTTGACCCTTTGACCTTGGAGTTTGACTGAATTAAAAAAAACAAATCTTGATTACTGAATAGCAGGTTAAAATCGCGGTCGGAAAAGATTGCGATTTGTTCAATTTTCAGCAAATCGCGGTCGTTTGAATTCGCGGAAAGGAAAAAAAAAAACATACATTTTTTTAACAGTACTTGCAAGTATTTTTCTTTAAGTATATATTGTGTGAACTGTTATTTTCAGTCTCTATCTTACGAAAGTCTGTTCATGTATATCGCGCATATCAGACAGGAAAGGCAAGTCTATATATTGTGTCAATTTTGAGCCCGATTAAATTTGAAGTCAAAATAATGTTACGCATTCAGAATATTTTTTATTTCCGAGTCCAAATATTATAGTAGTCAAATTGTTGAACTTTTAATCATAAAATTGAAATTTATTAATTGTCTTTAACCTGTTTACTTCGGAAGTACATTGATTAAAGGTAATTACTGAGTGATACGCACGCATGAAATTATACAAGCTTGTTTAATTAAATAATTACATTGCACGTCTACTAGATGGCAACACTACCATAATCGTTAGCTATAGAAATTATTTTAACAATTAATAAGCTTTACAAAACACCACCAACTACCTGTTTGTATACACTCTCATAATTATAATGACAGTCTACATATAATCACAGAAGATAATAAAATTTCAGTTTATCCTTATAAATCTTTTCAAGAATTATTCACTGTATGTTGAATTCGCGGAATTTCTTTTTCCGCGAATATAGCGAATATTTACCCCGCGAGTTAATTTCCTGCTGTACAGTATAACTTTTGAGGGTTAGGGCTAGTGCTTTCACACTTTTCATATTAAAATCTTGTGTCAAGACCTTTCATTTGATATAAAGAATTTTGACATTTTGATCTTGATCTTGGAGTTAGACCTACTTTTTTTAAAATTGGTAACGTTAGACATAGTTTTTGAAGGGTTAGGTCTAGGGTTTCAATACTTCACGTATGTATTCTTTTTGGCAAGACCTTTCATTGGTTATCAATTACCTAGACCTTGGAGAGATTTCTGTACTTATAAAAAAATTAACCTTGGCCTACTTTCATATTTCACAATTGTATTTCCAGTGAGAATACCCTACTTTGGATACCACAAACACATCCTGTTTTGTTCTACTGTCCAAGGCAAAAATACCTGGGGGTATGGAATTTATATTATGTTCTCAGCACTAAAGTTAACCACTGATTGAAAATCAATTCTTAAAATCTTATCTGGTAAAAACCTTTTCAATTGCCATTATGTTTCTAATGTTTCAATGGATCTGTCCATTGCTGTATTTAATTAAGGTCTTCCGTCTTCACGAAAGACCTTATAGTGATTTTACTGTTTCTTATAATTATTATTTTTCCGTATACATCTAATTTTGTGCACGCGATTTCTCGAAGACTACTGGGTGGAATCAAGTACAATTTGCAGAAACAATATGTTGTTATATGAAAATATTTCATCCGACAATTTATTTTAGGATATTGCTTCCGGTGCCAAGTTATGGATAATTTCCTGAATTTAAAATGACATTTTGTCCGCAGATAATCTCTAGATATTAACATTCAAAAATCTGAAGCTGGTCCAAAATGGCAGCTGTCTCCGTTAACTCCGACATTTTGCAATAGGGGTTTACGGAGACAGCCGAGCGTCTGCTTTAACGGAAATAGCATAAGGATCAATGAAATGTAAATGAAAACTTGGATTGTCACGTCGTAGTTGCGTTGCAATTCTATGTTAAACTAAAATATTAATCCAAGGTCATCTCAAACGTCTACTATAATTCTTTGTGGCTGGTTCTTAAAGTAGAAAAAGAAAGGACTATGTGTACCAAAGAAATACGATATCTATAACCTTTTCTTTTGCACCACAATAATCATGGTTATAAGTTATAATTTTTCAAGAAACTATATATATATATACAGTATATATATATATATATATATATATATATGGAGGTTTTATGTATAAAGGAGACCACTCATCCACATATATATACATTAGGGGGACACGGATATTGTGGGGACACCAGATTGGTCCCCTTAATGTTTAAGCTTGAATACCTAAATTACAGAATGATCCAGTAAACATTAGTTGTAAAGTTTAAATAAAGTTTGACATGATCTTACAAAATTTAATTACATTTAAATTTTTTAAGTATCGAAAAGGTAGATAAATAGAATTCCATTTTCAGCATATATATTTTTAGGTAAATAAATTTATGCTTTAAGGACACCACTAAAAAGTCTCTTTATTTTTCTTATTTCCCATATATAAAAATAAATCTGCTAATTCATGCATTCATTTATGGTGTCTTTAAGCTTAGGAACACGATTTTACATATTTTTGAAAACTGGTTAAAATATTCATTTTTTTCTTCACCATGAAACGCATGACATTTCTGTTTCGAGTCGTGCTATATGGTCATCCGGGTATTTCCAGGGAAGGACGCTACAGAGTACAGAGTCATGTTCAAGGGCAGTTTGTGATTTTTTTTAAATGGTAAGTTTATTTGCTAGGTGTATTTTGCTGAGTATGAGAATTTATATAAATGTTGACAGTTAGATATTAAATCGCGAGATATTTATTATAGTTAGCCAACTAGGCCTAAAGTAACGGCGTGTATCACCAAACCATGCAGGCACGTAGCATCGTTTTTGAAAATTGGGGGCTAACCAGAGATTTTTTTCTCACTTGAAAAAGTTGACAAGCAAAAAATAAAAAAAACAAACAAAAATTAAAATTTCCCCGAACTCGAAAATCCTATTTCGTTGGAAGGGAGGGGGGGGGGGTTATGACCAACTTCTCGAAGCCAACTTACTCTCACTTCCATTTTTTTTCTGTACGATCCTTGATATCTCTATACTATGTTATAAAGTGGGGGGTGGGTGGGGGTCACCATCCTTTCAATGAACATTTACTATAGTCAAGGTAATGTTGGGGAACAAAGTGCCCCCCCCCCCCCTGCGGATGCTACGTCACTGCAAAGTTGGGATGTGGTTAGGGGAGGAACAGCTAAAGTCGGACAGCATCGAATGTCGGACACTCTTCTCTTTCAGAATAAAATCGTTTCTAAATTTAGTGTCATGTGTATTTTTCTTTCAGTTTCTCCGTCTACGAGATGGTTATTGGTTGTTTCATACAAACATAGTCGTGAAAACGTTTGAAATAATGTCTAAAATTTAGAGGATACATACGCATCTCATGGATCCGGATAAAATTCGCATGCGCACCGAGCGCGCACCTGTCGGCAGTGACCTTAGTTATCTCTGGCGAAATTTTCAGTTTGCCGTCGGTACTCCGTGATTGCCAATATATTTTGTAATTAAATCATACTTTTAAATGAATAATATTACTTATTCCCATAATAATAATTTTTTGGTGGATATTTATTTAGTAAACCATTAAAATTAATCTGTCCGACTTTACATTCTCGGTCATTTAAAGTCGGACAGGGGAGAATTTAAAGTCGGACAGCACATTTTATTGAATAAATCGTTTTTTAATTGTCATATTTTTAAATACTAGAACAATTTATTATAATGTTATTAAACTTACTGGCAATTTAAGAGTATTTTAGCTTTTGCAATCAAATTTTGCCGATTCGCTGCAACTTTTTGGAAGGAAGAATAAAAAAAAAAATAAAAAAATAAAAAAAAAACGTTTCATCGCACTTGCCTTATAGAAATTGTTTCATTTCAGAAAAAAAACAATGAAAAACACGTAAAGCAAAAACCACCTCACTGAATTTTAACAGCAACAGACTGATATAATATTGCAGATAAATGAAATACTGTAGACATAAACCGAGGAAAATAAAAGAAGAAAAGGAAAACAAAGAGAAGGAAAGAAAGTCTATCAAAAAAATCAACAAATTTAATTGTTCATGGCTTTATTTGAGTTTCATGTTTAAAACTCTTCACTCATTCAGGAAAAGAAAAGGTTTCCTCCTTGAAAATTAAATACGTTTCAGATTA